TGGTAAAAAAAAATAGAAGACGAGGCAGGACAAAGAATTATGAATGGAAAATATTGTCATCTGGAGGTCCTCTAAAAGTCCCTGATTAGAGCAGGGCAGTTGTACAAGGAAAGGTTCATCTGGAAGGATCCAAGGAAGTCAGACTGTTTCAACTTGCTCAAAATTAAAAACTTGAACAGAGACAGGATAGCTTTGAGTGCTAAGATTTGGCTTGTTTTGCAGGGCTGGCTGGTAGTGTCATTTCCCAGTACAGCTGTCTTTGATTAGGAAAGCACTTTAAACTTCACTTGCCCTGTTCATTTTGAAGTTTAAAACGGCTTTGTCACAGGGAGCGGAGTGGTTGGTGGATGTGTCTGCTTAGGATGCTAAGTTAGTTTTTAATAGGGTTTCTAGAACAGGAAAGGCTTCCCTGATCCAGCGCAGGGCTGCCATATCTGGGCTGCAGAAATTGGGGCAACTATGAGATGGCAGCAATTTCTTTGCTCTCAGCTAGTGACTGCCCAGATTTTAGCCTTCCAAATATGGTAGCCTTAGTCCAGTGTCTTTCAACATTTTTTTCTGGATTAAATTGGAGAAGATCCTTCACCTGGAAGAACTTGTTTCTTAAATGGGCAAGAGGAGGAATTGTCTGAGTAATCCTCTCTCCACATTTCTCAATTGGTGGTGACTAATTGGTTGGTCATCAGAGGAGGAATTCTGTCTCTTCCGCTCACTTCTCAACTTCAGTTATGCCTACAGGAGCTTTAGTTGGGGGAACACAGGCATCATTCTGATGAAGAGGCCTTCCCAAACAGGACTTGCAATAAATTATGTCAGCACTGCTTGGCTTCTTGATGGGAATGTTCAGGGTTCTTACCAACTGGCTGTCTTCTCCTTCAGGGCACTCCATTTCATTCCATTCCCCTCCTTTGGTTTATTTTTTCTTCCCAATTTGAATTTAGCATGCCATAGTTTGTGGCTGGTGTTTGTGTTTTGTACTACCTTATTTTATGAAGATGTTGTTTTGAAAGGGCCTGCATATTGATACCCTTGTCAGTTTAATTTTTTGTGCTCACCATCAGCGTTTGTGATTATTGAGAGGCATGGAAGGGGAGGGACCAGAAGGAAGAGGTGAAAGCCATGTTTTGGATGTAGAAGGTCTATTTCTGTCCTGATATTTTCTTTATTTTAAACAAAGAAAAGGTTAAGATGGCAAGTGATGTGAAAGGTCTCCACGTGCAGCTGCTGAAGACTTGCAGGTCTATAGGAAGAGAGTCAGCTGCAGCATAAATACACATTTCCCATAATGTCTTGCCAAACTGCACTAGGAATTAGCAGGTTTTTGTTAGGAGTCCTTGGGAAGGATTTCATGGGTGGATCTTAACAGGAGGAAGTTTCAGAACAATAGAAGATGCTATGGGCTGGGTGGGTGAATGATGACATTTCTGTAGGGCTTTTCATCTCAAAGGGGAATCTGTAAACACAATTGCAAACTTTGTTACTTTATGCTCTTTATAAACATCTTTAATGTATCTTTTTTGTTGTTTTGGAGGAATAAACAAAATATTAGTTGAAAGGACTCAGCAGTTTGTTTATTGTCTGTGGGCCATAAACAGTGCGTAGAGCAAAGAGTTCCCTCTGATCCTTTATTTACTCTTTCCCCATTCCACACCTCTGTCTGTCTTGATCTGTGACCATTTTGGTTGGATTATCTAGCTCTTGGAGGAATTTTATGGGAAGAGAAAAATATCTTTGATCTTATCATATGTTTGTGTGCTGCTTCTGTATGCTTAGTGCATTTATGCTCCTGAGATTCTATAAACTGTAGCAGTTGGGGCAGTTTATCGTTTTGGTGGGAATCTGAAACACACTAGAGGACATAGCATCTGTTGTGCATGCCAAAAGTCCCAGAAGACTCCTGTTGGACGGGGTTGCATGGTTCCTTCACTATACATTCCCATTGACAGTAGGTAGTCTGGGGCATTTGTCCAGCTTGTAAAAATTGATTTCAGATTGAGTTGCTGTTATGTCCAAATTAGAAGCACTTCAACTGAGCACTCCCTGAGACCTTGGAGAAATGCTGCCTGGTGCAATAGGCAGAATGCTGGGCTGGATAGGCCAGTGTCTAAACTCAGCATAAGGCAACTTGACATGTTAATAACAGTCTAATTGCTGACCCAGTGTTCTGTCCAACAGCAAGCCGCCAGATGCTTCTGGAAACTAAAAAAGATGTGGTGAGAGCCTTCCTATTATATGACATCTAGCAGCTTGTACTCGGACTTCTTTGCATCCTTGAATAAAAGTTTCTCCTAGTTTTCAAGACAAATGGTTAATCAGAGATACATTTTCTATGCATTTTGGAATCACTGGATTAGATAAACTTGTATTAGATTAACTTGCAGTTCCTGTCACCCATGACTGTGGAATAGCTGAGTAATGTAATCTAGGGACCCAGATTTGAGAATTCCTTTTTAAGAGCTGCTGAAGCTACTGACTGTCAGCTCTATTCGTCTTTGGAAATGTGTGGTTATCAAATGTGTTAATTACTTTTCTTTGGCATTTACTGGAGTACTGTGATGGCCTAAATGCTCCAGCATTATTGCTATCCATGGTTAACTCCCTAAAGCATTTAATGGCCACAATTAGATGTAGATTTGCAGAAAGTTATTTGGATATGTAGATTTGCAAAAAGTGATTAGGTAACATGGTTACCCAAAACATCAGACAAAAAGGAAGATGATTCCTTTCTGAGAAGGATGTGATAGAGTCTATAAATCTTTTTTGTACTGCCAGATTACAAATGATGGTTAAGAAATCAGGTAGAATGTTGCATTAGCGCTGAGCCCAAGTGTGAGAGGTAGCTTTAAGGAAAGAACTCACTGGCATTTTCATTAAAAGGACAGAAAAGAACTGTGTAAGAAACCCAAAACCAATCTAAGTGGGACAAGGCAAGAAGAATGATGGATGGCATACATTTTAAGAGCCACATAAAAATGAGGGGATGTAAGTCAGCCTAACCATATATTGACTTACGTTGCATGTCAAGAAGATGGGCCACATGTTATATTAAGCTCATGTGGACTCAATATAATGATATATAGGGCTGTCCAAAGTAGAGATTCTAACTTCAGAGTTTTTGCAGCAAATGAGTACTTTGTCCCCTCCCCATTTTAAATGAACACATATGAAAATTTTATGCTGTATCAGGATGCAAGTCCAGTGGAAAAACAGTAAAGAAGACCAAATGTTCAGTTATTTGTTTTAGAGTAGGAAGAGCAATAGAGGATTGCTTGATAGACTTGAGGATTGAAGTTCATGGACAAGGGAGACTTCAATATGTGGAGGGCGTTCCTCCTCCTCCTCTTGGGTATTAATATTTGTATAAAAAGTATTGATGCTAGACTGATAATAAATTTAATGATTAGAGCGGGGTTGGCATATTCCACACCAGAATATATTTGTGTGCTGCTTCAACTTCCTATGCTAATTCTACTTCTCCCCCTCACCCTTCTAGCTCTCAGGTGAAACTAATAGTTTTGCAAGACAGGTTATCTCACCCAGACTTCAAAACTCACTTCCCCAGGACCCTCATTCCTGACTTTCCAACACTCCATAAACACCTTCACTTGGGGGCCATTCAGTTGAAATATATCAGTAACCACTTTGAAGTTTCTAAGTTCCTTACTTGCTCCCCTACTCTTAGTTTAGGAACCTCTTGTGTCTTAGCTATTATGTTTTTGATAGCAGCAGGCATTTTGAAATTTTAATTTTGTTAACAGTTTTTAATGTTATAATGATAAAGGCAGTATACACATTTCATATAAATACATATTAAAAAGCAATAAACGGCTGATGTTTACGCCATGCAAATCCTGCCTGTTGCAGAAGTGTCTTGGTTTCATAATGGGACCTGGCCTAGTGCAACTCAGGGTCTTTCTACTCCAATCATGGTCTCTCAATCACTGGCCACTTCCCTTCAGAGGGCCTCAGAGAAGTTAAGGAGTAACCAGAAATATCTGTACTTGGCCCTACACTTCATTCATTTCAGATGACTGAGGCCATTTTGACCAAGGCAGAGAGTTGAATGACTGCTGAGGTCCGGATCAAAGGCTTCTGATTATTAATCATATAAGGTGCTGGGTTTTCCATTTAAAATCTACAGTGAAAGACAAGACATTAGTTATGAAAATGTGAATCACCTATGTCCTTTGATTTGTGGAATAAAATAAAACTTACATAGAGATCTTTCTCTTTGTACTTTGGTTTTATAATCTTTTAATTATGTATTGTCGATTTTAGTTTGTCGCAAGCCGCCCAGAGTCCCCCGTTGTGGGGAGATGGGCGGGGACAAGTCAAATAAATAATAATAATAAAAAAATCTGCCAAGACCCACTCCCAGATGTTCACGGTGTCTGCAAAAGAGTTGGAGGATGGAAGAAAGATGCTCCAAAAAGCATGTCTCACCAGAGAACAAAAGTGGTTATGGAGGACAAACTTCCTTTTTCTCCTAATGATGGTCACCATGGAGGAACCAAAAAATGTACTTTGCTGAAGGGCATTAATATTATTTCTTGCTAACTAATGCCCAGTGGTTGCTTTAGCTTCCAAAGACATACTTTAGCTATCCAAACGTGTCAGGATTTTTTAAACCATGGTTTGTTGAAAAAAATGTTGTGCCCTAGTTTACCCATAGCAGCAAGTGTAAATGGGTATATCTGCAGAGTATGTTAGGCCAAAAGCACACAAGACCACATTAAACACAATTAATTATATCCTTATTTAATTAACCTTCTAGGCTGCCCAACTCCAAAGCAACTGTAGATAGTTTCCCAAGTTAAAAGAAATAAGAGGGACAACATAACATCCTTCCACATTACCCCCAACTCAGAAGGCCCTGCCCAAACATCCTAAGCCAAGGCTGGGACCTACAAGGTGGAGGCTGTATGAATCTCTGGGGGGACGTTGTTCCAAATTATTTATGTCCATTCTAATAATGCCACTTTTTGGATATGTTTTTCCAGGTTGCTATCCTTGTCCAGGGCCTAATATGAACCCCATAGCTCTAGGAAGTCGGTGGCTGGCCTATGCGGAAAACAAGGTAAAAAAAAACAATACTAATTTTGTTATTTATTTAAATCTGACACTCTCTCTCTCTCTCTCTCTCTCTCACACACACACACACACACACACACACACGGATGAGGTAAAAAAGG